CACCTACTGTTCTGTTTCCTTTCCAAGATTTTTGCTCACCACCTCTCCTTAGGTCCCTCTGTAAAACATTAACTTTAATTTTTTGGGTGTGCAGCACCCACTGGCTTCCACTCCAGCCCACTTTATTTTTGACCCAGGATCCCTCTGAGTCACTAAGCCGCCCAGGATGCGTCTCCCATGCTCCTCCCGTGCCTCCCACGCAGCTGTGACCACAGTTGGGCTCTGACCACGCTTCCCGGCTTGTCGCCCTGGGCAGCTGTGAGGTGTCTCTTGCCCCTGGAAGCAATCTGTGCTGGGACACTCATGTCCAGGAGAAATTGGAAAATACATTTATTTACAGAAAACAGAAACAGACCAGCCAAGCAGGTGTTAGTCAGAGGTGGACTCGCTGGATGCCAAAGAAGGTCTCGTAGGCATTTGGGGAGGGCTGCGCCTGCAGGGTGAGGTTGGTGCAGAGGATGTCCCCGGAGGCCAGCCTCGTCAGGCGCTGGGCGGCCACACAGCAACCCTGGCCAAAGTCCCGGCGCAGCAGCGTGATGCTGTCGGGGGCAGAGCAGATGCCCACAGTCAGGGTGGCGCTGTGGTCCCTGACGTCCTCTGTGGGGGAGCACCTGGCCAGGGTCACCTGGATGTGCAGGCGGTAGATGCCATCATGGAGGACACGCAATTGTCCGTCATCTAGTGCTGGTCCGTGCAGGAAAGAGCGGCCCAAGGATGGGCCAGCCTGCCAGCGCAGCCGGGGGTCCTGCCTGGGACCTGGGACAGAGGGTGAGAGGGTGGGGGCGGAGGTTAGAATTGGCTGTTGCTAAGGCTAGTGGGATGGGGAATAGGGAGGAGAAGTAAGGGGGGAGGGGAGGGACCTAACGGGAGAGCGAACCTAGCAGCGGCGGTGCAGGTTTACTATCCCGACCCGCTGGGAAGCTGGAGGGAGCGAGAGGGGGAGACAGGCACAAGGGCTTGCACTGTGGGAGAGAAGAGGAGGCGGAGGCAGAAAGAGCAGAGGCACGCCCCCAGGGAGGGGCCGAGAGAACTTCCCCGGTGCTTCTCGTCCTCGCAGCCCTTTAAACGAGTCCCTCCCACAGGCCAAGGACTGAACGCTGGCGGACTTGGGGTGCACAGCGCCCACATCACATCACGGATGGTCTAGCAGAAGAAACACCCCAGACAGCGGAAAGAAAAGAAACAACCCTCAGGCCACGCGTCGACGAATATTTACACTGCACTTAAAAAGAAATCAGTGTCCCGCCAACTTGCCGGAGCGCTGCTTTCCCTTCAGCGCCGCCCCCCGCAGCCTGGGATTGCACGCATGCGCCACTCTGCCCAGCTCAGACTGATCCTCGTGGTCCGTGGGTTTCCTGAGCTGCCTCCTCTCTGTCCCACGCGGCCACAACCAGATCCTAACTGGCATCTCCACTGGTTTCTCCTAGACAGTCACCGTCTGTTCTCAGCTGAGGGACATCTGTCATTGTGAACCAGCTTCCTGGGAGGGGGTACCAGGCCATCTGCCAAGATGATGCCCTGTAGATACCCACAACCAGATGCGGTGGGCCCAGAGGTGCTAGATTTTTGTAGACCTTTCGCAGAGAGAGGAAGAGGGAGAGGAGAGCAGACAGTGACAGGGAGCGAAACCAGCCACACTCCAGTGCTAGGCTTGCAAGAGAAGCAGAAGTCCCCAGAAGAGAGGAGGGGTCACCACTGGTACCGCCGAGATCAGCTGCAGGTCTGAGATCTTCAAGGAGAAGACGCTGGGGGGAAAGGGGAGATCTCCCTCCCGCGTGGAGCAGCAGGACGCCCCCGCCCTCACCTCCCTGGGCTTCTCCACCTGGCCTCGCTCAGGGAGGCTGCCCCCACCACCCCACTTTAGGGAGCAGCCCCTTCCTGGGGTGCCCGCCTCTCCCAGCTCCGCCTTCCCGCACTCCTTGGCCCTCCTGCGGTGCTGGGGATGGAGCTGAGGCCTCAAGAGCTCCAGCCCCGCGCTCCTACCAGCTGTCCCGGCCCTATGGATCGCGGGCGGCCACCTCAGGGAGGCGGTGCTGAGGCCCGGATCCGCCGGCTCCCTCCAAAGCGCAGCCCAGAGGCGGGGTCTGCGCGCGGGAATGAGGTCCGTTACCATAATGCCTCAGGGCTGTTTTAGTTGGCTCTGGTTTTGCCAAGGCCCAAGTGAAAAGTGCAGAAGTGGGAGGATGAGGGAGGAGCCAGAGACAGAATGGGAAACCAGCGCCGCCGGCACAGCCCTCTTCCTCCGCGGTGACTTTCTCCCATCCTCCCGGAGCTTAGAGCCGCGCAGAAGGCTGCAGTCTTTTTCTTTTTCTGCAGCAGGGACTGTACCCCGGGCTTTTTCACTGAACTACAGCCGCAGCCCTTTGTTGTTGTTGTCATTATTATTATTATTATTATTATTATTATTATTATTATTATTTCTTTTAAGACCAGGACTTTCCAAGTTGCTCAAGCTGGGCTGAATTTATTTATTTATTTATTTATTTATTTATTTATTTTTCCGGTACCGGGGATTGAACTCAGGACCCTGTGCTTGCCAGGCAAGCACTTATTCTACTGAGCTATCTCCCCAGGTCCCTGGGCTGAAATTTTTGTTACTTTTTTTTTTTTTTTTTTTGAGACAAGGTGCTGTTTTTTGTTGGTGGTGGTGGGTTTTTTTTTGTTGTTGTTGTTTGTTTGTTTGTTTGTTTTTTTGCGGAACCAGGGATTGAACTCAGGCCCTTGAGCTTGTCAGGCAAGTGCTTATTGTACTGAGGCATCTCCCTGGCCCCTGAATTTTTGTTACTTTTGAGTCAGCAGAGCCCAGGATGCTACGATTACAACTTAGCCCCGTGTCTGTCTGTCTCTGTCTGTCTCTGTCTGTCTGTCTGTCTCTGTCTCTGTCTGTCTCTGTGTGTGTGTGTCTCTCTCTCTCTCTCTCTCTCTCTCACACACACACACACACACGCACGCACGCACACACGGCGCCCGCGGAGCTCCCGTATCACCTGTGAGATTCAGCTGCAGCTCAGCCATGTCGCTCTGGAAGAAAACAGAAGAGGACGTAAGCAGGGAGTTTGTAGCGTCCCTTAAGCATCTCTGACCACCTCTCATCCCACTGGGAACAAGGGAAAATTACGTTCTCTGCTCTTCCCTTTCTTTCTCACCAGTCCATGCTCGCTATCGCTAAGGAAAGCTCGGCTGGGGAGTCCCAGCGCCCAGAGCGTTCTAACCGTCTTCACCTCCCCACCCTCCTTCCCGTCTCCTCCCGCCTGCCTGTTTCCTACCGTCTCACTTTTATTTTGTCCTAAGTGATGCGCCTTGCACTCCCTTGCACAGGACGAACCATGCAATATTTAGCCTGGTTATATTTATATTATAGCCTATGTCCGTGCCTGATTTGTTTCCTTAGCGTTCCGGTCTCCGCGGTGTTTTGTTTTGTTTTGTTTTGTTTTTTTACAGGGTCTCGCTGTGCGGCCCAGGCTGGGCTCGAATTCGCAGCAGTCTTCTTGCCTCAGCTTCACAAGTGCAGAGATTACAGTGAACCACTGCATTCGTTTTCTTTTGAAAGAATCCTTAAAAGGAGAGTCGCTTGGGACTTGCAGGGAGTCCCCAGAGGGGGCTCAGGACGCAGCCCTCCGTGCCCCGCTGGTCGGGCCCTTTCTTCTCCGCACCTTATCTACAGTCAATCCTTTATCCTTTCCTTTATCAATCCCGACTTACTTCTGATTTCGGATTTCGCCTTTTCTGAACTCGCTCTGCGCTGCAGCGGGATCCTGCTCACTCGCAGCTCCCTTCTCTGCTCCCCGCACCCGGTCCCGCCCAGCTCCCTGCTTTCGGCTCCACTCACCCCAGTCTGCAGAGAGCAAGGCTGTCCTGCGCAGCGATGGTCGCAGTGGAAGTAGATCAAGCAAGAAACCAAGGCCACCAGACCAAGGACGAGGAGCCCCCAGACCCCGCGCCTGGACATAGCCCTGGACAGGCCGGGCACTGCGCGGCACGAGGCCTCCTCCTCCATGGCCGCGGCTCCTGACTCCAGTGGCAGCGGCTTCAAGAGCCGAGGGGGAAATGGCGCCCCCCCTCGTCTGCTCTGTGAGCCTGATGTGCAGGGGACCTCGCTGGGGATGTCCGACCAAGGGGAAGACCTCTGTCTCCTCGCTGGCAGGGAAGTCCCCTGCTGGATTCCCTCTTGCCCAGAGGGATGAGGTGTGAAGGGTAGGGTGGGAATTACCTGTCCTGCTTCCTCCCCCACAGGACATTCCCGTCTTATCTGGCCTCTTGGCACCGATTCATTCCTTCACCAAACCTTCGCTGAGCATCTATAAGGGACCAGACACAGTGCTGGGTCCTAGGGGTGCAGCAGGAAGGCTGGTCCATGTGCTCCTGACCAGCTGCCCAGCCCGTGTGGGATGAGCCGACTGCCCTGCCCATCGCATTGAGATTGGAAATGTCACTGTGTGGTGGCACCTCACTCCCGAACCCAACTGGGACCAGTATCCTTGTGGACCACTGATTAATGACTCAATGGGTTGAACTGTGTCCTCTTAGAGCTCATGGCCACCTGGGACGCTGGGATGTGCCTGCATCCGAGCAGAGGGTCTTTGCGGATGTAGTTGTATTAGGATGGGTAAGCTGGACCCCAGATCTGATGGAGTCCTTCTAAGAGCAAAGACTCCAGCTGAGGTGGCTCAGGCCTGCCCTGGTACAAATTTTCAGCCACAGCTAGCATCTTAGAGAAAATCCATAAATACCTATCTCCCTAATTCAAATATATGCCAGGGAGATAGCTCAGTAGAAGAAGCACTTGCCTGGCAAGCACAAGGCCCTGAGTTCAATTCCCAGTATCAAAAAAAAAAAGAAAGAAAGAAAGAAAGAAAGAAAGAAAGAAAGAAAGAAAGAAAGAAAAGACACAGATATATGAAAAGATTTAGTAAATAACAACAAAAACTTAGGTTTAAAGAGGGTAAGTATCCTCTTACAGGACAATACCAAAGAAAATTAAAATCAGAAGTCTACTTTGGGGCTGGGGAGATGGCTCAGTAGAATAAGCACTTCCTTGGCAAGCATAAAGGGCTGAGTTCAATCCCCAGTTATGAAAAAAAAAAAAGTCTACTTTGATGCTAAAGATCTTTTTTAAAAAAATTTTTTTTCATACTAAGGATAAGACCAAGGGATGTGGAAGAGTCTCTACATGAGAAGTGAGATGTATGCCTGGCAAGTGCAGGGTCCTGAATTCAATCGCCAGTATTGAAAGAAGAAGGAGGAGGAGGAGGAGGGGGAGGAGGAGGAGGAGGAAGAGGAAGAGGAAGAAGAGGAGGAGGAGGAA